GATTACAAAAAAAAAACAAACATTTCGATAATGGATTACAAAAAAAAACAAACATTTCGATCATGTATTTACAAAACATTCGATCATGGATTACAAAAAATTCTATCATGCGTTACAAACAAAAAAAAAAACAAAAATTCGATCATAGATTACAAGAAAAAAAACAAACATTTCGATCATGGATTACAAAAAATTCTATCATGGGTTACAAAAAAAAAAAAACAAAAATTTGATCATGGATGACAAAAAAAAAAACAATTCGATCATGGATTACAAAAAAATCGATCAAGTATTACAAAAAAATCTATCATGGATTACCTATTCACTGTACGGACTCGCTGATTCCGTACAGTGAATCGGCGAGTCACTGTACAGAATCGTCCGGTTCTCTCTAGAACCGGACGATTCCCGTTTTCTTCGCCAATTCGATCCGTTCATGGCGATTCTCGAGTCGAACCGGGCGAGTCCGGTTCGACTCGGCGTTTTTTTAAACACTGCCTTCAAGTATTGAGTCTTAGTCATTAGTTCAGGCACTATTAGCGGCTAGTTAGCAGTCACACTAACACTTCCTTAGCAATCTGATCTCCTAGATTAATAGAAATTTGTTACAAAGGCATCCCCACTTCCAAGAGTTCCCAACTCCTAGGAGCTTCCTACATGGTTTAGTCAATCCAGCAAAATCTTGATAGAGGAACATCCATGCTCACACAAATAACAGCAACCATGACCAAGTGATGGTCTAACACAGCATCTATAGTAATTCAAATCGTGGAAAATAGGGATGAACCTTCATAGGAACTTTATCAGTGAAATGAAAATAAACCCAACCAATGAACAATAAGAGGAATTATTCCAAGCAGGAGGTTCATACAATCCGATCATATGATGACAATCCCAGCAAAGGTATTGATGTAGCAGGCCCCAATGCATTACCCAAGGCTTCAAAGTCTTCCATGAATCGTGTGTCCAACTGCAATGAGGAGCCAATGAGATTATTCCGATGGTTAAGCTCCATTCAAATAAAATAGATGGTGGAAATTAGTTTTATAGTAGAACTTAAGAATGATGATGAACACGTCCTTAATATATCGGATAACACCATATCATACCATAATTATGAAGACTAAGAGGATGTTAAACCTTGATAATTGCACAACTAATGGTTCTAGTGTATGATCTGGTACCATGGAAATAGAAAATTTTAAAATTAAGTCTGATGATTAAGAATCGATTTGCAAAACAAAAATGGAAGTTCAGTTAATTCAATTTATAATAACATATGGCTGATAGGAGCATCTCGCATGCGATAAGGTAGGAAACGAGAAAAAATAATGCCAGGGGTTTTTTACAAGAAAATATGGTGTTAGTATTCTACAAGGAAATCAATTGCTACTCAAAACTTATCCAAATGAAGTTGTATGGTTGTCATGGATATTTGCAAAATGATGTCATATTTATAGTTACCACAAATACGGAGCTTGCAATTCCAAATGACAATTGCAATTCCACGTTTCCCAAGATGAATCGTGATTATCGAAAGATAGGAATCACGATACCAAATTTCTCAAATCTCGTTCCAAATATTTTTTTAAACCCAAATTCCTGGAAGTAGGGAATCTAGACTCCATCTCACAAAAATTTACGATTCATAGATGCACAAGAACGGGATTCAACGTATATGAGACCTTGATCCCAATTTTTAGGAACCAGGAGTTAGTGATTTATGGAAGCTAGACCCTCAACAT